CTTACTTTCCTACTAATTTTATAGCAAGTGGAAGAGTCCACAATAGCCTCATTAGAGGGAAGACACTACATCAGACTTACTTCTCACTGAAAAATACGGAGGAAATGGAAGTGGTTTTCCTACAGTGGCATGTCGGTTCCTTGCCGTTAACTAACGAAACCAAGGAATTAAGTACGTTTGAGCACTTTCGGTAGAAATATCTGTAGAGTAACGAGAAGTTTGCTACATCCAGCCTGTGAGAAAGATAATGGAGGGTGAAAAATAATTCCTCACCCACAAAGAAGAAATTTTGTCGAGGCTGGAGAGTGAGGTTAAAATATATCCCGCTCAAATATGACAACAGTACTCCATTCTTGGCCTGATCTGCATCTTTAGCGAGGTGGGTGTGAGCTTCAGGCTCAATATTCTCTTAAGTCACGGTGCCTACGCGAGGTGGGGGGCATCGGTTCATTGTGACTTGCGGTGATCGGATGTAACCAGTTTTAGTTTTTGAGACATTGAATGAAACCAGCATGTATCACTTGCAGGCATTATTATTTAAACTATCTCGTTCAATATAAGTGTATAAAAATTCCGGCGGAACGTTTATTTGAACCGACACTATTATTTTATCATTTTTACAAATCTCGCCAGTATGACTCCTCCCGTCTGAATATTTATTTGGTAAAAAAATGCGTTGTCATAAATGTTAACACTGAGCTGGTGATTGCTTTCAGCGTGAAACCAACAGTCACCATTCAGTGTTGATGTCTATGTCCGCACTGTTTATAAATTTACACAGTTGACTTACAAGCGTATATTTCGCATGGGTAGAGGATAACATGAGTCAGGTACTCATAGGGAACCGATCAGTTTACTTGCACCTTTAGCGATGGATTTTATATAAATTCCACTAAACGTCGGATGTGAGTTTGAGGCCCAACTCGACTGTTCCCCCACGGCCTTCTCTCCTACTAATCTTATAGTAGACGGAACATAGACTCTTCAGAGGGAGGACACCACAACAGGAGAAGACGAAAATGGTTCACTCTAGAAGTGAAAGGTAAAAATTGTAGTGATCGGTAAAACATCCTCTTTGCAGTCTGTTCCATATGGTAGTGGTTCGCGGTGAGAAGCTGTCCGAGTGGAACTTACTTCTTGCCGATGGAATACAAAGTGAATGTGGGTAGTTTGTTATTATATAAACGGCATGCCGGGTCCTAGCCGTGGAGGTTAGGACTGGTGGAATGAAAAAATATAGTTCATCCGAGGGATTTCCATGTTAATAGCGACTGAGCAGTGATAGACTCGCCACATCCCGCCTGTGAGAGAGAGGAGGATGGAGTGTAGGAAATAATTCTTCTCCAACAAGGAATAAGAAATGCTTTTGAAATCTAGACGGAAAATGAGGACCGGGCAGCTCCTGACCAAATATGGCAAAAGTACTCCCTTCTTAGCCTGATAAATGTAGAAGATAGCATGAGGAGTCAGGTACTTACTGGAGCTATTATATAAGCGGCATGGCAGGTCCTGGCCGTGAAGGTTAGAACTGGTGGAATGAAGGAATACAGTACACCCGAGCAGTGTCTATGGTAATAGCGATTGAGCAGTGAAAGACTAGCCACATCACGCCTGTGGGAGCGCGAGGTTGGATGGTGGAAAATAATCCTTCTCCGACAAGGACTCAAAGACGCTTTTGAACCCTATCTAGACTGAAAAGAGTGTACCCAGCAGATCCTGCCTAAACATGGCAACAGTACTAAATTTCCGGTCTGATCTACCTCATATAAAAGTAGAAGATAGCATGAGAAGTCAGGTACTTACTGGAGTGGTACAGGCAACAGATCTTTAAGCAATCATGCATCGTGTGGACTATCCTTATCGTCAACGAAGGATTACTTTCCTTCTGTTGGCTAAGGATGGACGTCTTCTGTCCAAAGATAAGATCAACGTTGATTGGTTGATTATTGTCTAACAGTTCATAATGGACGATTCCTTGAATATCCCGAGAGAAAGTTCCTATCTGAGGTGCTGAGCAGGTCTGTTTCCTTGACTGATCTACTGATGAATTTCTTGATTGCTTCCACTTGATCACTTGATTGCATTCAGCGTGAAACTAACAGTCATCATGCACTTACTTCTCGCCAATGAAATACGGGAGGTTTGCTACTATATAAACTGCATGGTGGGTCCTAGCCGTGAAGATTAGAACTGGTGGAATGAAGGAATACAGTAAATCCGAGCAGTGTCTATGGTCATAGCGATTGAGCAGTGAAAGACTAGCCACATCACGTCTGTGAGTGTGGAAAATAATTCTTTTCCATCGAGGACTCGGAGACGCTTTTAAACTCTATCGAGTCTGAAAAAAGAGTACCAGGCATATCTTGCCCAAATATGGCAACAGCACTACATTTTCGGCCTGATCTAGCTCTTATAAAGGTAGAAGATAGCATGAGAATTAAGGTATTTACTGGAGCATTACAGGCAACAGATCTTTAAGCCATCATGCATCGTGTGGACTAAACTTATCGTCAATGAAGGATTGATTTCCTTTCGTTGTCTAAGGATGGACGTCTTCTGTCCAAAGATAAGATCCACGTTGATTGATTGATTATTGTCTAACAGTTCATAATGAACTTGAATATCCCGAGAAAAAGTTCCTATCTGAGGTGCTGAGCGGGTCTGTTTCCTTGACTGATCCACTGACGACGGCACTCAACATTATGGTAAAGGATCCTTTTCTCATCACCAGTAACAGACGTGTCCAAAAGGGCACGAGGTTGTCGTTTAAGTAATGACTCTAAAACAATGGACACATTGTTGGTGATTTTCTTAAAGGTCGTACAGGATCCATTTACCAAACACTCAATAAAAAAAAATACCTCTCCGGCTTACAGCTATGATATATAGAGATGGCTGGTCAAGCACTTAGTTGCATAGAGAACTTACGACTCTACATCGCCATGGGACAAGTCATGGATATATATATATATATATATATATATATATATATATATATATATATATATTTGCAAGGTCAATTGATAAGAAATTTCGCATTTCGACGATGAAACCCAAGTTGGAATCTAACCAATTTGCGAGGGAGATGAACTTGCTATTATCGGTCTAGAGAGGTGATCCCAGCATGCGGCGCCGATGGAAGGTGCCTGAAAACGATAGAACTGGTTGACCCATGCCTTCTTGGGGAAAATCTATTTGTAAGCTGTCGAGATTTGTGCAAGCACGATGCCATATGTCATTGTGACCGAGGGTTTTAGCTTACCGTCGTTGTTCACTTCTATTTCTGATAGATATTCACTCTCTCCCAGAAACTGTAACTAACGTCAGGTCAGCATAGCTGCAGTATAAACCACAGGGGATGGGCAGTGGCTCTGAGGGTGTTAAACAAATCCAAATTTGACTGAGCAGGTATTTGCAACTGAAACTTTAACTGTCCTAACAGATAGGTTTATAAGGAAAACATGCGAAACCGGCCATTATTTATTCATTTGTAAAAGCATCTTTTTCTTCACCGTAGTCCAGGGCATGACGATAAACTATATCTGGCAGCAAGGCTACTGATTGGGAGATTAGAGGTTTTGAGGAGGATGGAACCATCGCTGAAATGCTGTTGTTCCCAGGTCCACTATGACCCGGGGTGGTAGCACCTGTTAGGGTCCCAGCTATGGGTAAACAGTGAACCCCACCTCCCAAAAACAAAACACTGTTCAAAAAAATTCTAAACCTCAGCGAGAAAGAAGAGCCATAGTTGAACCATTTTGTGGTGGCAACACACTACCACTTCTTATAAAACTAGAAAAAAAAACTCATTCAGATTTCTGTGTTCATTTCTGTGCAGGTGAGACCCATAGAAATATGAGAATTGTGTTACAAATTTAAAAAGAAACAAAACAAATGTCCTAGCAATAATAAATTATCTGCAAACGAATGGTATCCATGAGAACAGATACATTCTGAGGACTCCCCTCCCTATTCAAATATGGAGAAGTGGGCTGCGGAATTCAATCGGGACAGGGATAGCACAGAAAATGACCCCCGGTCAGGCCGTCTAAAAACCTCAGCCTTGACTATTTGAGATCTTAGGGGTGAGCAAGCTGTCTGCAAGGGTCCTAAGAATGCTACGAATCTATCTACCTCAATCTGTTCATTATCTATCTATCTATCTATCTATCTATCTATCTATCTATCTATCCCAATCTGTTTCTATCTATCTATCTATCTATCTATCTATCTATCTATCTATCTATCTATTTTGACTTGTTGACATCTATTTATTTATCTATCTATCTAAAAATGCATTTTTATAGTAAAAATAACAGTAATACTTTTTATAGAAAGAAAATTACCGATAATACATATTTTTAGTGAAATTACTAAAATACATCTTTATAATAAAATTACCAACAATGTATTTTATCTGTAGTTGAAGGCGTATAACTGCGTTCAAAATATGCTCGCTTAGGCATTAAATAAGCTATAGATATTGATATGCCGCTAAACACAATCAACCAACACAAAAGAACCATTTCATGACATTAACTCTTATAATATTGGGCTATTTCTCAAAGAAATCCAACTGTATTCCAAAATATAACTTCAACAAGGCTACAATATAAAGCACACATCACACCATCTAGTAATTATATCCAAACAAACATATATATGCACAGATGCTGAGTATCATCTACCATGTATTCAATTGCGAAAACAGAATAACACAGGGATAGCACAGAAAATGACCTTCGGCCAGGCCGTCTAAAACCTCAACCTGAACCATTAATGAATAAGTTGAGGCCATACACCATATATTCCCTCCGTATTTCATTGGCGAGAAGTGCATGATGACTGTTAGTTTCATGCTGAAAGCAATCAACAGATCAGTGTTAATATTTATGCCAACACATTCCATACTTTTTATTACCAAACTAGCAGCATGGCTCGGCGTTGCCCGTGCTTGATTAAAAAATCGTATGACTAAACTGTCTGCAAGGGTCCCAATAATGCTACGAATCTATCTATCTATCTATCTATCTATCTATCCCAATCTGTTTCTTTCTTTCTTTCTTTCTTTCTTTCTTTCTTTCTATCTATCTATCTATCTATCTTTCTGTCTTTCTTTCTTTCTTTCTTTCTTTTCTTTCTTTCTTTTTTTCTTTCTATCTTTCCCAATCTGTTTCTTTCTTTCTTTCTTTCTTCTTTCTTTCCCAATCTGTTTCTATCTATCTATCTATCTATCTATCTATCTATTTCTTTCTTTCTTTTCTTTCTTTTTTCTTTCTTTCTTTCTTTCTTTCTTTCTTTCTTTCTTTCCCAATCTGTTTCTATCTATCTATCTATCTATCTATCTATCTATCTATCTATCTATTAACGAAATACAGTGTCATAGATACAAGTGTCGTTTAAAAAAAATTCTAAGAGTCACTCAGAAAGAAGAGCCATAACTGAACCATTTTTTGTGGCAACAAACTACCACTTCTCATTAAAACTAGAAAAACGAATTCAGATTTCTGCCTTGATTTCTGTCCATACAAAGGTGAGAGGCATGCGAAAAATCCCCAAATCGGCAAAACAGAAGACTGGGGAGTCATAAAATATCCGCAAAAGAAATATATGACACCCAAGGAAATCCATGAGGATTTGGTACAGGCTGAGGACTCCCCTTCCTATGAAACTGTAAAGAAGTGGACTGTGAAATTAATGCAGGGTACAGAAGATGACCCTCGATCAGGTCGTCCAAAACCCTCAACCACTGATGAACAAGTTGAGGGCATTCATCGTATTGTTTTGTGTTGTGGTAGGATCCACCTAATTTGCATAGTGGAGTACCGACCATATAAATATGGTTGGTACCGGGAAGAGAGGAAGGAATCAAGAGATTCAACCAGAGACTCTGCCCGACTGCGACTCAGTCAACACATTCTCCAGGGACGGTCTTACCAGGAATATACAAAAGACTATATGTAAATATTGTGTACAATTTCTTGTTTCAATACATTTTGTTCTAAGTACATTTTGTGTTGCATTATTATTCCATGCATTAGTCAAGTTTCAACATTTTGTATGACACACGTCTTACTATCCAGCAGATAGCTAAGTCCATAAGCATTGGTTCTGGTTCTGCTCATGTGTTTTAACTAAGATCTTGAGGATGAGCAAACTCTCTGCAAGATGGGTCCCAAGAATTTTGACACCAGAGAAGAATCTGAAAAGGGTTGACCCTTATCACTCGGTTCCTGAGAGTTTCCACCGGAGACTAGTAATTAATGATGAAAACTGGGTTCACCACTTTGAAACTAAATCAAAGATTCAAAGCAAAAAGGGGAAAAAAAAAACTCTGGTTCTACACCCCCGCAGAACTTCAAGCATGCAGCGTCTATTGGCAAGATGATTGCTTCTCTTTTCTTTTTTTCTCTTTGTAGTGGGGTCTGAAGGCGTAATTATGATAGCCTATCTGGAAAAAGGAGTGCAGGCGTGTTTCTGCTCCTGGATAACGCGGCCGTTCACACTGCTCAAGTTGCAGTAGATGAATCAGCCAACTGTGGCTTTGAATTGCTACCCCATTCATCTTACTCAACAGACTTAGATCCATCTGATTTCTTCCTGTTTCCTAAAGATAAATCCCACCTGCGTGGTCGGGATATTGGAAATAATGATTAGATCATATATGCTGTTCAGGAATTTTGGGAGGGCCAGGATGCCACCTTCTTCCTTGATAGGATTGCAAAGCTTAAGCATTGTTGAATCAATTGCGTTGATGTCAAGAGAGACTATATTGAAAAATGATGAGAGTCTCTCTTCTTTCTCTAAAACCTTCTGGGTGGGACTTAGAACTTTTCTTATAGTAAATTCTTTAGAAATGCATTCACAGTATAAATACATTCCTGAACATGAGGGAATTGTAGGCGAGCAAGAAAGACAACCAACAACATTGGCTGCAGACCAGAGCTAAGACACACACACACACACACACACACACACACACACACACACACACACACACACACACACACACACATACACAAACACACATACTCAAACACACAGACAGACACATACACACACACAAACACATACACAAACACACACAAACACACATACACAAACACACAGAAACACACACACACACACACACACAAACACATACACAAACACACACACAAACACACATACACAAACACACAGTAACACACGTACACAAACACAGGCACAAACACACACACACAAACACATACACACACAAACACATACACAAACACACACACAAACACATACACAAACACACATACACAAACACACACAAATACACAGACACAAACACACACAAACACATACACAAACACACACAAGCAAATACACAAACACACACAAATACACATACACAAACACATACACAAACACAGACACAAACACACATAAACACATACGCAAACACATATATATAGGTATATATAGGTATATATACCGGGTGGAATAGCAAAATTATTCAATTGTTTGTGGCACCATTTACGAGGCAGGAAAAGAAAGAAAAGAAGGCAGAAAGAAAGGCGAGACGAATCGTGGGTGATAAGCAGACACACACACACGGCTAAGAGACAATGAATATATTGATAAGTAACCATGGCGAAAAGATGTCATTACAATGACAGGGAAATTCTGGGTAACAAGAAAGGGAAAGAAAGAAAGAAACAGATGTGTTTTGATAACGGCTGTGTTATCTAGGAGTACGTAAACAAAACAGCTGCTCGACTGGCCAACGAAAAATTCAATTGAAAACGTTAATTTTGATAATTGACAAAACACAGGTGTAAATACAGGACTTGGGGTAGATATGAAAAATTAAAAACCACACAAGCCGTGTCCGCTGACCGAATTTTTTTCGACTAAACAACTTTGGCCTGCGATAATAAAATTATGTTATCAGAAATATGTACCGAAGGAAAATGAATGGGAACCCAGAAGTGTTTTTTCTTCCTTGGAGGCGACAGACTGACTGAAATTTTAGAGATATTTCCTTTTGAGGCCGTGTTAAGAAGACCACCCATTTTGATAATTAGCGATAAAATACCTGACAAAACCACGTGTAGAACAAGAGTTGTCATATTGTCCGTTTGCGGCTAGAAAAATGATAACGGCGATTAAAGCGGAAGAAAAGGGAAAGAAAGAGATAATTTTTTTCTCTAAACAAGATATTTTTTTTTCCCGAAACAAAGCCGCGGATTGTTCACGCCCGACTAAGACATCATTGGTCAAGTGGGTGATCACGTGACGCACGAAGGAGGAGGAAAGATACCCGACTAAGACCTCATTGGCCGAGTGGTGATCACGTGACGCACGAAGAAGGCTGTCGACGCCTCATCCAGAGTATAAGTATGAGAAGCTGCTACGAGGAAAGTGGGGAGGGCAGTTCACGCCCCTCTGAAGTATGGTGAGAAAGTGGGAGTAAGGAAAGGTTCCCAAAAATGGAAAAGAGTGGAAAATCCCTAACAAGAAATAAAAGAGGTGGATATGTATTTAGAATTATCGAGGAACCCCCCGACAGACCCACCCCGGTTTTGGTCGGCGTCAATAAAAGCGAGGCCCCAACAGGCAGAAATCAGAGAGTTTGGGCTCCAACGGAGAGTTGAGTTTCCAGAGTTGAAACCGCCTCGCAGATAGCTGACCAAGATTCACGCAAATTCTGGACTCCTCTTCAACCCAAGAACAATTATTTTGAAGAGCGACTCAGAACCAGACCACCGAAATGAGTTTTTTCTTCGACTTTCGTCCAAAGACACCAAGAAGGCCAATTTCTTAGAGAGCAAACAACTTGAAGCGTTAAAAACTTGCCTAACGGAAAACGACTTGTCACAATCAACAGAACGGGTCGGGAGATAGATGCAGTCCTATGTATCGAACAACTAGACATAAATTTTGATACCTTTTTCTTTGATACTTTGAACATTTTGAGTTTTCATTTTTTTTTCTTTTATGCATATTTGTGTAGTTGAACTCAGTTTGCATTACGGCCCCAACCACTGTTTGATCTCGTCTGCCTAAGATCAATTCACAACGTGGGTAGACAGACTGGAGATCAATGCAGTTACCTTGGTAACCAAGCGTTGGAAGCGAATTGGGAACGACGTGGCTGATATCAAATCTAACCAGTTTCCCACCCGAATCACCAAAAGGTTAGAACGTCACATTTGGCTGCCGCGACCGATACCAAGTCAGTTGGTCGTCACAGGACGAGACAATACGACTGACGCGACAGGCGGACGTCACGTTTGGAGCAGCGACACCCGAACGGAGCAGCGAGGAGCGAACAGCTGGCGCCGCGGCGAGGACGTCTGGTTGGTGCTGTTTGGGGACGTCACAACTGGCGCCGTGGTAGATCAGGATAGAACGTCACAGTCGGCGCTGCGACCGGGGGACGACGTCACAGTTAGCTTAAGCTTTGAACCGTTGTATCTTAGAAATAATAAAAGATGTGTTACTGTAATTCTCCGAGGGTTTTATAACTCTATTGGACTCTAGTTTGAGCAATAAGAATTCATAATCACTCTCCAAACTTAATAGAAGAATCATGGCGAAATCGATCAAATATATATATGCATCATTCTCTCTCTCTCTCTCTCTCTCTATATATATATATATATATATATATATATATATATATATATATATATATATATATATATATAAAATGATAGAAGTCAACCCTTAGAGGAGACAGTCTGTTTCTGGATTCAATGGTCAACATCTAGCATGAAACAGACTGTCGCCTCTAAGTGTTGACTTCTATGTTCACTTTTATATTTACACACGCTCTATCTCTGATATTGAGCACTTAATAAATATAGCACATCTTAAGACTATATTTTTTATATATATATATATATATATATATATATATATATATATATATATATATATATTCATAATTTTTTCCAACTTATTTAAGATGATCTTTGCCCTCTCAAACCTTCTAACTTTCCGTCTTGGTGTAACAATTGCTTCACACGTTTCACATACGATTTCATTTTCAAGTTTTTCACTGCTCACTGGACTGTCATAAAAGAAACCGTTCTCTTGTTGGTCTTGAATGGGCTTTGAAGATGGGAGCAAGAGTATGAATGTTGGTATCATTACTGAAGGCCTGAATGATCTTTTTCCTGTCATCATTGCTCATTTGAGAAGACAGTGAGGCTGACAAAATGATTTTAACCTCTTCTATTTCTAGCTGAATAACTCAAATAATTTTTCTGTGATTCTTCCGACAAATGGTATCAAGACGACTACACAGTTTAACTGAAAACATTGAAAGAAGAAACTCAATTAGTTCAATGGATTTTTAGATATTAAACATTTTGTGGGATGGACAATTATTATATATTTATGGG